CCTCAGCCTCCAGAGCCCTGGGTGACAGACCTGCCTCAGCCTGGTGACTCTGCATCCCCCAAACCGGAGAGCAGAGGCAGGGTTCTGAGTCTCATGTGTGGATGATAATATTTTAGGCAAAACTTGCTTTTTAAAAACATCACTGGAGCTGGGCAGTGGTGGTGCACGCCTTTAATCCCAGCACTCGGGAGGCAGAGACAGGAGGATCTCTGTGAGTTCGAGGCCAGCCTGGGCTACAGAGCGAGATCCAGGACAGCCAGGGCTACACAGAGAAAGCCTGTCTCAAAAACAAAACAAAAAACAAAACAAAAACAAAAATGAGAAATAGCATTTGGCGTTTGTTCAGTTTTCTGGGCATGCAAACCCTCGGTGGCAAGCTTCTTCCCCAGCGGAAGCCACAGCGACCCAGGATGAATGCTTGTCATCTCAGAACTGGCTCAGAGCTAGGAGTCCCGAGTTCAAATCCAGGTCCCTGTGGATCAGCTCGGCCTTGTGCGGGTGGGTAGGTCCTGCCTTTCTACTGTGTAAGAATATTGCAAAAGCCGCAGCAGAGGCTAGGGAGGCTGCGCAATGATTAGTGCGCTGGCTGCTCCTGCAGAGGACCTGGGTTTGGGTTCTCAGCACCCACACGGTGGCCCACAACCACCTGTTACTTGAGTTTTGGGGTCCTGACACCCTCTTGTGGCCTCTGCAGGCACCAGGCACACACCCAGGCAAAGACATGTGGGAACACCCATATACATAAAGTAAAATAAATAAATGTGGGTTTTTGTTTTTTGGGTTTTTTTTTTTTTTTTTTTTTTTTTTTTTGGTTTTTAGAGACAGGGTTTCTCTGTGTAGTTTTGGTGCCTGTCCTGGATCTCGCTCTGTAGACCAGGCTGGCCTCGAACTCACAGAGATCCGCCTGCCTCTGCCTCCCGAGTGCTGGGGTTAAAGACGTGGCCACCACCACCCAGCCATACTAGCCTTTTTTATACAATTATTTTATGCGGATTTTGTCTGCACCGTCTGGGCACATGTGTGCAGTACCTGCAGAGGCCAGAAGGGGGCGTCAGGTCCCCAGAACTGAAGTCGGGAGCGATTGTGAGCCCTGTGTGGGTGCTGGGAACCGATCCCCGGGTCCTCTGCAGTGGCAACCTGTGCTCTAACCATTGAGTGTCTCTCCAGCCCTGTCCACTCTTAAAATTCTTCTGCTGTGTGTGTGTCGGGGGGGGGGGGGGGAAGAGTGGGCTCACCCATGTGGGTGCATTTTGCCAATGTCAGGTGTCTCCCATGTTTTCTGAGGTGGGGTCTCACTGACTCAGGAACTCAGGTCAGGGAGCCCCAGGGACCCTCCCGTCTCTGCTCCCCAGCTCCGACTTCAGCGTGCACTGCCACACCTGGCTGCTTATGTGGGTGCTTGGGTTCGAACTCACGCCTGCTCGCTTGCACAGCAATCATTTTACCCACTGGGCTTCTCCCTGGCCCTTCGTTTCTTTATTTATTGTAGTTTCGGGGACTGAACCTGGGACGTTCGTTCCTCATGCTAGGCCAGGCCTCGCGGGGCCACAGCCGTGGGTGTCCGTGAGAACTTGCGCTACCTGCCCTGAGGGACTCTGAGTCCAGATCCCAGCACTGGAGGGCAGTGTGGGGACTTCCAAGCGCGCAGTGGGAGCAGCCACGGAAGGCCAGTGCTTCTGCAACATTTATTATCCTCTAGCTGGACTGTCGCCCCCCACACAGCAAAAGCAAGGCCACGCGTGAGGGACCCACCGAGCTCCAGTGTGGCTGGTCCTGTGTCCGAGGCTGCCGGCCTTGGGTACCCCAGCCCTGGGACAGACATTGGCTCTGGGGACAGACTAAGCTGAAGGAAGCAGGATTAATGGGTTCCCTGGACTGGGGGCACTTGTCCCTACCATGGAGTGCCAGTCCTGGATGCCAGCTTCTAGAATGTGCTGGGGGTGGGGTGGCTTGCAAACATCTACACATGAAACCTGAGAATGCATCTCGCCTCCCTCAGCAGGGGCATGCAGACTGAGCTGGGGACTGTCCTGGATCTTTCAAGGCACGGTGTGACCACACAGTCACACCAGTCCTCCGGTGGCCGGGAGACCAGGAGACTTCAGGCTGATGGCTCTGACAGGAGCAGAGGGGGCCACAAGCCCTCTAGATACCGCGCTGTGGGAATTGTCTTTATCTTTTCACCCTGGGCTGCAGCCCAGGGAAGCTGTGCCATGCTCTGGCCCACAGCACTGTGATACAATGTGATTGTGTAAAAGTCATGTCCAAGAGGCTGTGGATGGACTGAGGAGGGTTTTAGTGGGGTGTATAGCAGTTTGTCAAGCCCCCAGTCCAGCCCCGTCCTCTCTCCAAGCCGACCCTCCCTCCCTTCCGCCCAGGAGCTACAGGCTCACGAGACCAGCGCTGCCCTGTGCCCTGGCGTGGGTCCAGGGTGACGGCATTTCCTCAGTGCCGGGAAGCACAGAATGGGTGACAGGAGCCACGGGGCTCTGTGTCTTGGCCCAGCCCCCATTCCCAAGCTTACAAACTCTCACATGATCGGGGCCACCCTCTCCACACACACAGCCTGAGGGGACCAAAGGCCACCACCCGCTGCCCCCGGAGGGCCAGATGGGTAAACAGTGGTCCTTTCTCTCCAGCTCCTGTCGTCACCGAGGTGGCCGGTCACCCTCTGTCATCACAAGTCATTTTGGGGCTCCGTGCTGGCAGCGGGGGACCTGCCTGGCCAATCTGTTTTTGCCTCTTGTGGACATTTTACTCACGCTATTCTTTGACCCTTTTCTAAATATAGCCACACAGGGACCCATTTAGTGCATGAACAAAGAGACCTCGGCCGCAGCCAGTCACAAGATGCTGTTTTTCATCTTGGTCACTGATTTCCCTTGGAAATGTGTCCCCTGAGTGTCCTCACGTGGCCAACCCCACGCCCTGCCCCCGAGTGACCAAGTGACCCTGAGAAGCTGCAGGCTTGGCCCACCCAGCCTAGGGTAGGCTCTCCAGGGAACCCTGACATGTGCTTCCCCGTGGGCAGGCATTCAGGTGCCAACCCCTGTCCATGGTCTGTCTCTCTGTCCTCGTTAGTGTCCGGTGTGACGCGAGAGCCCCCTGAGGGCCGGGGAATGCATTGAGGGTCCCCATCCCAGCTCAAAGGACCGGCCCTTCAGGGTCTGGTTCACGCATGGCCAAGGCCAGCGCTGCTGTCAACATCGGCTTCTCTATGGAGTCCAAGCCAAGGTCTCCCTGGATGCTGGGGACGTTGTTCGGAGCATTCTCTATGGGGCCTGCACCCACTCCATACCAGGAGCTCCGAGTGCTCCCTGAGTGGCACGGCCACCCCTGTGGGAGCCCTAGGTCTGGACCCACTGCATGAACATGGGTCAGGAGAAGACACTTCCCTTCCTGCCTGAAGGAGCCATGCGGACAGTTGCACAACTAACTGGAAAAATACTCTAGCGCCACATGGGTGGAGAGAGGAGACGTTACAGCTGCCGCAGAAAGCAGTTTGGCAATTTCCGAAAAAGAAAAAGAAAAAGAAAAAAAAACACTGAGCACAGCCTATGCCATGACCCAGCAACTTGAAATCACCCCGAGTGCCCCAATCCTGGGCTCCTTGTGCATATACCCCCAGAGGCATGCAGTCATCACCAAGGTCCTGCTGTATACAGTTGGCATGCAATTGTGTTCAAAACGCTTGTGTATACAGTGGTGTGCAGTCATTACTGGGACCCTGTGTATACAGTGGTGTGCAACTGTGCCCAAGGCCTTGTGTATGCAGTGGTGTGCGGTTGTGGCTGAGACCTGTGTATACAGTGGTGTGGAGTCGTGGCTGAGGCCTGTGTATACAGTGGTGTGGAGTCGTGGCTGAGGCCTGTGTATACAGTGGTGTGGAGTTGTGGCTGAGGCCTGTGTATGCAGTGGTGTGCAGTCCTGGCTGAGGCCTGTGTATGCAGTGGTGTGGAGTTGTGGCTGAGGCCTGTGTATGCAGTGGTGTGGAGTCGTGGCTGAGGCCTGTGTATGCAGTGGTGTGCAGTCCTGGCTGAGGCCTGTGTATGCAGTGGTGTGCAGTCCTGGCTGAGGCCTGTGTATGCAGTGGTGTGCAGTCCTGGCTGAGGCCTGTGTATGCAGTGGTGTGCAGTCCTGGCTGAGGCCTGTGTATGTAGTGGTGTGCAGTCCTGACTGGAGCTATCGGGCTCTGTAAACAGCTCCTTTCTGAACACCGTGTGCTGGGAGCGAACAGTCTGCATCCGCCTCCTGCCCGTCGGCTCGCGGTTTTGTGTTTTGTTTGTTTTCCACTTATTTCTTAACTGTTTTTTGGCAGGCAGGACGAGAAACGGGAGGGAAAATCAGCCAGATTCCTGGATGTTGACAGGGAGACGGGAGCGGGACTTGGCCCCTGAGCCTGTCACCTGCTCTGGGAGGCTGAGGAGGAAACGAGTTCAAGACCAGACCTGGCAGTTTAGGGAGCTCAAAACAGAAAGTGAAAGGCGGACTGGGGGCGTGGTCAGGGTGGAGCCCCGCCCAGAATCCCCAGTGAGGGGCTGGGGGCGTGGTCAGGGTGGAGCCCCGCCCAGAACCCCCTGTGAGGGGCTGGGGGCGTGGTCAGTGTGGAGCCCCGCCCAGAACCCCCAGTGAGGGGGCTGGGGGCGTGGTCAGGGTGGAGCCCCGCCTACAGTCTCCCCAGGGCACCCAGGACCCTCCGGTCTCTCCAGCCTCCTCCACCAGACACTGACTTTTCTGAGTTAGTTCATCTCCAATCCAGCCTTGTTTTGGAGAAGCCGGTCTCCTGTAGCCCGGCTGGCCTCACACTGGATTCCTCCGGCCTCGCCTGGCTGCACGGCCGCCGGTCCTTCTCCCCGCTCCCGCGGTGGGCGGGGCTAGCGCGGGGCCCCTGGAGGCCCGGGGACCGCAGCAGCCCGGGCCGCGACCGAGCCCTGCTGGGATCCCTTCCTGGAAAGTGACGCGCAGACGCGGCCGGCTCCTCCCCCCCCCCCCCCCGGCGGACCCCCCCCCCCCCCGCCGCATTCCCCGCATTCCCGGCCCCTGACGCGGGAGCCGCGGGGACTTTCTCACCCGGCGGGCGGGCGGCGTGCTTTCCCAGGCGGGGAGGGGCCGGTCCCAGCTATGCCCGGCATCCACAGGTTCCCCAGCATTTTTGGGTCTGAATGTCATTGTTTCCTAAAGCAGATAGGGAGGTGGGCGGGAGAAGAAACCCATAGTGGCCTCTGGGCTCCAAAGTAGAGCCGCACTGGCCTGGACAGGCGGCTCAGCGGTTAGCGCACCGGCTGCCCCTGCAGGGGACCCGTCCGTTCCCAACACCCACCCGGGGCTCACAACCGCCTGTGACTCCAGTTCTGAGGACCCGACCGACGTCCCCTTCCGGCCTCCGCGGGTATTGCACACTGTGCACAGATGCACCAGCAACACACACACGTGCACACACGCACACACACACACACACAGACACACACGAGCACGCATGCACGCACGCACACACGCACGCACGCGCACACACACGAGCACGCATGCACGCACGCACACACACGCACGCATACACACGCGCGCACACGAGCACGCATGCACGCACGCACACACGCACGCACACGAGCACGCATGCACGCACGCACGCACGCACACACGCACGCACACACACGAGCACGCATGCACGCACGCACACACGCACGCACACACATGAGCACGCATGCACGCACACACACGAGCACGCATGCACGCACGCACACACGCACGCACATGAGCACGCACGCATGCACACGAGCACACATGCACGCGCGCACACACACACACGGGCACGCACGCGCGCACACGCACACACAATATTCAGAAGTCGAGCCGTAGCCTGTCATCGCAGCTCTCAGGAAGCGGAGGCAGTAGGATTGTGGTGAGTTTCCAGCCGGCCTGGACTACATATGATAAGTGTTTCTCAATCAAATTCAGCCCGGTGTAAAACACGCCCTTAATCTCAGCAGAGGCAGGAGGGTCTGTGAGTTCAAGGCCAGCCTGGTCTACACAGTGAGACCCCGTCTCCATCAGTCAATCCTGTGACATGCGGGGCTGGAGTCGTAGGTAAAGACCTGAGATCCACCAGCGGGGTCCACTCAGCTCCTTGATTTTATTTTTCTTTTTGGTTGCTTTTCTTTGGATCCCAGGCTAGCCTCAGCGTTGTGACAATCCCCCTGTCTCAGCACTGGGACGACAGGTGGGTCGCGTGTCTAGGGCTGGGCTCAGTGGAGACACTGGTCATGCTGAAGCCCTGGGGCCCATCCCAGCAGGGCCATCCTCTGCTACATCGGGGTTTTGAAGCCAGCCTGGGTTACATGAGACCCAGGAGAGGGAAGAGGGCCAGCGGGGTGGCTCAGGACAGCTTGCTGCCAAGCCTGCTGACGGGAGTTCAGTCCTCCTCAGGACCCGTACAGACAGAGCGAACAGAATCCCTGAGGCCTTTCGAACTCCACACAGGAGCACACACACACACACACACACACACACACACACACACACACACACAAATACATGTGAAGACTTTTATTTTAATTTGCTTAAAAGCCAGGCAAGGTGGGGCATGCCCGTCACCTCAGCAAAAGGAGGGATGTCACCACGAGTTCAAGGCCAGCCCGAGCTCCAGACTGAGACAGTCTCTACAAACACACACTCAAACTAGCTGGCTACAGTGCCAAGCAAAGAAGCCCGAGCTACTTGGAAAGCTGAGGCAGGAGGATTACATCAACACAGAAATTTTCACTACTCTAGAATATTCTGTCAGTATATTATTATTATTGTTGTTGTTGTTGCTTGAGCCGGGCTCTCATGTAGCCCAGGCTGGCTTCAAGCTCCCTATGTAGACAAGGATGTCCTTGGACTTCTGATCCTTCTGTCTTTGTCTCCTAAGATCTCGGATGACAGGCCTGAACACCGTGTCCCATGCTGGAGACGGGACCCAGGGCTTTGTGCATGCTAGGCAAGTACTCCACCAACTAAGCTACAAGCACTCTACCCACTGAGCTACAAGCACTCTGCCTGCTGAGGCCCCGCCCCATGCCCCTGCTGGGAGCTTTTTACCAAACTACTGACCCCCAGCACATTCCAGCACATGTTTTCACTCTCTGTCCCCAAACAGGTGACTTCACCTCATCATCTGACCACAGTTGTGCAAGGCGACCATCTGCAGGTATTTTCCTCCAAAGTTCACATGCCTCATAAAGAGGTCACTGAGGTGGGGCTCCTGTCTCAGGGGTGCAGGAGAACAAGGGGATCCCTTGCTCCATCTCAAAGCAACTGTTTTTCTCTGGGCAGAGAAGGCGAGACTCGAATCCAGGGCATGAGGAAGAGGGATTCCAGGATATCCACCAAACCTCTGTCTTCCCGGACCGGTCACAGAACCGGGTCCCTGGCGGTGACCTCATCGAGCTCCGGGGCCTGGCCGCCCTGTGGACTCTGCTGCAGAGTTATGCAACTAGGGTTCAGGGGAAGACGTTTGTATCGATTCATAAGCAGTAGATTCGCAGAAAGAACATGGAGCCCAGGCTGGCCCTGAATGCTAATCCTCCTCCCCAGTTCTCAGATGACAGACGTGTGTTACCACACCAGATACATGCACCGCTGCATGTGGTCCCCATGGCTTCCTTGTTGATGGAGGTGAGCTCTTCACCAGCGGGGCTCTAACTGCTCTCTCCCTGAGCCACAGGCACCCGCCCACAGGGCTCAGCCTGGGCCCCTGATTTTCCCAGGTCCCCCTGGGGCCATGCGGGTGGTGGTGATGCCTGTGTCCCCACAGCCTCTGGACAGTCAGGGGAGGAGCCGTAGGCTGTAAATGGTTTCTCAACAGAAGGCTGCAAACCGGCCTGGCCACATTTGCAGGACACCTCTGCTCACTCTGTTTACATTTGACTCTTGACCTGGATCTGGACAAGGCGCGGCTTTCTCCATGGCCACGGCTGCTCAGGGTCCCCTTTCCCCTGGATCAGGGACCTGGAGATTGCCCAAGAGAAGTCCAGAGCTCGGAGCGTCCCTGCGCTGTGGCCTGTGGGCTCTGTCCTCCGTCCCGTCCCCCTCCACAGTTCTCCTTCGTATTCAGAGAGGGACGGGACGTCGTATTCTTTTTCTTATTATTTATTTTTGTGGGGACCAAGTCTTATGTAGCACAGGCTAGCCTCAAACTGGCTATGTAGCTGAGAGCTATGTGTGCAGAGGATCTCCACTGTGGCCAGTTTATGTGGTGCTCTGATGGGGCCCAGGGCCTCCTGTGTGCTAGGCAAGCACCCTACCCACTGAGCAACAAGCACTGTTCTAATAGGGTCCTCTGGAAGTTGCTGAAACTGAACTTGGCTAGCGGTGGCTTTGATCCCGGGAGCTCTGGGAACTGTGATGTCACCAGAGTTCATGCCTTTCCATTTTACCTACAGACCTGTTGGGGTCACAGGGTCCTACTGATAAGGGAGACCTCGTCCCGGGGACAAATGTCACGGTGTCACCACAGGGAGCTCCGGGAGCGAGGCCACAGTGCTCTGCACCCATGGAGCCCTGTGCACCTGCCACCCTGTTGACCCCCACCGCACTGAGGCCCTGGCACCCTCTGCCACCCCGTGGGCCACCCGGAGCCTGTCACGGGGGGAGGGGGCAGCTCGGGGTGCCCTCTGGCTCCGCTGTTTTGCTCTGTCCAGGCTGTGCATTCTGACACCTGCTCGGAAACCGCCTGTGAGTCCGTAATCTACCAACAAGCGAGCACATGCCGTTGTCCCAGCACTGCAGAGCTGAGGCAGGGGGATCGGGCCATCCTCAGCTGCACAGTCACGGGGGGAGGGGGGAGATGATGTGAGGCCTGTCCCCAAAACAAACAGAAAAGGAGCAAGAGAGGTGGTGTGTGCGCGAGTGCACCTCAGTATGTGTGTGGAGCTCAGACAACTCGGGAAATCTGTCCTCACCGTCCGCTCTGTAAGTCCCGGGGCTTGAACTCGGGTTCTTGGGCTTGGCGGCAGCGCCCTTACCCACCACCCACGGGTCTCTGGCCCGTGCCTTCTGTCTTTGATGGAGTATTACTCACCCATGAGAAAGAACAAAGGGTGTGCGCGGTGAGTGTGGTGATGTCATGTGGGGAGAAAGAGGCCGCTTACAACGTGAGGTTCCTGTCGCAGGACTTTCCGCCTGCAGCAGAATGAAGAACGGAGCCAAGGTTACTGAGGTCCGCTGCCGTGACATGGTGCAGAAGTCAGGGCAACAGCGGTGGCCTGTGTCCTGGAGGGGGTTCCATGGCCGTATGTGCTTCTAAAACCGCTGTCCACAGTGAACCTCAAAGGGTTCCACTGTGTGTGTAGGAGCCCTTCACAAGACCATGTCATTAATGGGAGTCCTGAAGAAGGGTCCTTGTCGGAGGGCGGTGGTGGCGCACGCCTTTAATCCCAATGCTTGGCAGGCAGAGGCAGGTGGATCTCTGTGAGTTCAAGGCCAGCCTGGGCCACAGTGCAAGTTCTGGGACAGCCATGACCACACAGAGAAACCCTGTCTCAGGGAAGAATAAAAAGGAATGGTCGCTGTGACTTGCCTCCTCCTTTTTCCTTAGTTTCCTTATTGGCTTTTGGTAGTGGTTGTTTTGTTGGACAGAGGTCTCAGGTAGCCCAGGCTGGCCTTGAACTCACTATGTAGTCAATGATAACCTTGAATTCCTGACCCTCCTGCCTCCACTTACTGAGCGCTGGGGAGGAGACAGGCACCTCCATGCCTGCCCTAAGACCTTCCTGTGTGTCCCGTTCTTGCCGGTCCCTCGCTGGCGTCCTCAGGGTCGTGCTGTCTCCCTGTGGCCATGGAGCACGCCTTCGTCACGCTCATTTACTTGCCTCCTTATTTATTCATTTATTTATTTCTGAGACAGGGTTTCTCTGTGTAGACCAGGCTGTCCTGGAACTCCCTCTGTAGCCCAGGCTGGCCTTGAACTCAGAGATCCGCCTGCCTCTGCCTCCCGAGGGCTGGAATTAATGGCCTGTGCCACCACCACCCAGATCATGTATGTATTTATGGGTTTTGAGACAGGGTCTCACTGTGTAGCCATGGCTGTCCTAGAACTCACCATGTAGACCAGGCTGGCCTCTGCCTCCACGCCCGGGCCTCGTTCCTCTGATCTTTGGGTTTTCTCTGTGTCTGTCAGCACCGGGCTGAGGCACTGTGTCTCCCCCTCTGCCTCCCACGGCCACAGTTCTCCGAGTTGGAGAACGTTTCACCCGTCTGGACCGACTGTCTTTCAGTCTCCTGTCTCCGGACTCTCGGTTGAGTAGGAGGGTCAGGGTGGGGGTCGGATGGGTTGTATGAGGCCGGGGACATGGCTCAGCCGCAAAGAACTGTCCCGGGAGCCCGGGCACGCCTGGCCGATGTCCCTGCCCCCTGGACCTCAGAAGAGGCTCCCCTGGGTACCCCAGCTCTTCTCTCCCCGTCTCTCAGCATGTCAGGTTCCAAGGGGACCACCTCTGAGGGCCTCAGCGGGGCCGGTGAGCAGGGACACAGGGTCTCTTGGAGTCCATGGAACCAAAAAGGGACTGAGACAAGCCCTCAGGCTCCAGATAACACCAGGGACATGTGGGGAGCTCCTGGCGTGGAGTGGGTGGAGGCCAGGCACCACACAGCATCCAGTACTCCCCACACAGAGTGACGCCGTCCAGTGTCCACAGCACCCAGGAGACCCTGGGTGGCTTGATGACTTGTAACCCATCGTTTCTAGTTCTGTGTCTCTGGGATCCTGTCTCCACCAAGTGTGGTTACCATGTCACCCTCCGGCAGACAGCACACCTAAGGTGTAATTATATCTCTCTCCAGGACGAGGGCTAAAACCCAGCCCTGGCCTCCCGGCTTTTCACTCCAGATCGGCAGCACACCCGGGGCCGCTCCAAGAGCAAGGGCTGTTCTGAGAGGCCGTTACCCCGAGTGACACCCCGAGTGACACCCTGATTTCTCCCGTGCTGCCGGCAGCCTGGTGCTGCAGTCACTGTGCACACCCGGGAGCTCTGTCCCCCAGGGCTGCCACGTGCTGAGCCTTGTGGCCAGCTGCCTGTGGGGTGTGAGGGCAGCTGACTCAGCAGCCCGCGTGCTTGGCTGTTGTTGACTTACTACTTGTGGGGGGGCATGGCTGGGCCGTGAGTCAGGGACTAGCTGGTGACACATACTTCTGCCAGGACAACAGGGGACAGCCTGCAGGGTACAGGGAGCGCCTGAGTCGCACCTCAGAGTGAGCTGACCCATGACAAAAACAACCGTGTACCAGGAGAAGCCTGGAAGACAAAACATGTCCAGACATGTATGTGGGCAAACACAGCCATGTCCATACTGAGATATGCAGAGGGGTGTGTGTGTGTGTGCACACGTGAGCAGTATCAGCCTGGAATCCCTGTGAGGGGCTGGGGGCGTGGTCAGGGTGGAGCCCCACCCAGAATCCCCCAGTGAGGGGCTGGGGGCGTGGTCAGGGTGGACCCCGCCTAGAATCCCCCAGTGAGGGGCCGGGGGCGTGGTCAGGGCTCTCAGTTGAGCCCTGGCTCTGCATGCACATAGTCAAACACACGCCCATATCGTATGCCTGTGCAGAGACCCCCCTGTGCACACACAGCACACACCTGAAGACAGACACTGACCTGCTCCCACTTCCGTCTGGGCACACTGATCACACACGCCCTCACACGGATGCATCCTTACGTGGATGTGCACACACATGTGCTGAGCAGGACCCCCCAGCCCTCTACTTCCCAGCTTCCCAGGAAAACACACACTGAGGCCTGGCCTTGTTCTCTGAACCCAACTATATTTAGCTCAAGAGAAATCTCAGGTTTTCGCGTCCTCCTAGAAGTCCTGATGAGTGATTTCTCTGCAGCCACATGCTGAGGCTCCGGCTTCTCTGCCCCTGGGTGCTGGATGTCTGCCCACACCCCAGGGAGCCAGACAGGGCCAAAGATGTTTTTCTATTATTATTATTAATTGAAACCTGATTAAGAACATTTTTTTTTTTCCAAGACAGGGTTTCTCTGTGTAGCCCTGGCTGTCCAGGAACTCACTCTGTAGACCAGGCTGGTCTCAAACTCACAGAGTTCCTCCTGCCTCTCCTCCCGAGTGCTGGGATTAAAGGTATGCGCCACCACTGCCCAGCAAGAACATCGTTAAACTGGATGTGGTAGCTTATGCCTGTCAACCCAGACTTTAAGAAACTGAGGCAGGAGAATGGCCAAGAGTTCCAGGCCAGCCTGGGCTACACACAGAGACTCTGTCACCAACAAAGCAAACAAAAGTTGATGTCTATTCCTGTTTATCTGCAACAAGAAAGCACAAAGCGATTCCATTGAGCCTCGCTTAATGTGACATTTGATAAAACTGTGGGCCAGGGCTGACAAGAGGGCTCAGCTGGAAAAGGTGATTGCAGCCAAGACAGACCGAGAATCCCAGGGACCCACATGGAAGGAGATAACAGAGTCCCACAAGTCCCCTGACCTCTGCATGGATGCTTTAACACATGTAAACACTCACACACACACACACACACACACACACACACACACTTAGGCACATGCATCTGAACATGCAAACAGGCATGCATACACAAACATTTTTAAATAATAAAATGTTAGGGCCTCCAAAATGGCTGGTCTGATAAAGACACTTGCCACCACCACCAAGCCTAAAGAACTGGGTGGGTTCAATCCCCGGGAGAGAGCCAACTACTCTGGTACGTCCTCTGACCACATCCACAACACACAAAATATAAATAAGTGTAATGGAGGGGTAGGGTGTGGCTCAGCAATCCGGGGGCCCGGGGGTCTGTCCCCAGCAGCCCTCCCCGCCACCTGGGCTGTCCGAGAGTCCCTCCTCGAGGTGACTTCCCCAGGAAGACCATATCATGTAGGAAACGAAAGTGAAGCCTTCACGATTGTCCCACCCACCTCGGGTAGCCGAGCCGTGCCCAGGTCACTGGCTCTTCTGTGATCTTGGGCAACAAGGCTTCTGCTTGAATTCCCTAGCTCAGGACAGACAGGGACAGACAGACAGACAGTCTTCAGCTGAATTATCATCAGCCCCAGCCTGGGCCATGCCAGTCACAAGTCTCTGGACCTGTTTGATGAATGAATGAATGAATGAATGACTGTGTGAACGGCTGAGGGAGGGGCCTGGGGCAGGGCTGGGGTGACCACAGTCCCTGATCCCATCCCCCATCATGTCCGTCTTCTCCCACTGATTGCTGGCCCCCTGCCACCCCACCCGCAGGGACGGACACTGGCAGGTACTGGGTGCCCGTCCCCTGCTCTGAGCAGCTGGGCTTGGTCCTCTGAGGGGTCGGAGGGTCAGGGCCCGGGTGGTTCAGGGCTCATGGGTCTGAGCAGCAGGTTCACGTCCCTCTGTGCCCGCCAGCTCTCTGGACGCCGGGGTCCAGGCTGATGGCTGATGATGTCAGGGACTAACAACGTCGCCCAGGCCCGGAAGCTGGTGGAGCAGCTGCGCATCGAGGCTGGCATCGAACGCATCAAGGTGAGCGGGCCGGGGGAGGGGGAGACCCGCGAGCCCTGGCCTCTGCTTAGGTTCCGGCTGTGTGACCTTGGGACACTCACGCGGGTTCTCTGGGCTTCTCAGCGTAAAGAGACGCTGTTGCCCGGCTGAGAAACCCAAAGTGTTCTGTTGGGACCGAGACTGGGTTGCCGTGACGGTGCCGCTCCCGGCGGCTCCTTTTCTCACGGTCGCCCCTCACCCACAGTGCTCTGTCTTTCTTTTTGGTCACCACAGATGGGAGCAGGTGTCATAGACAGAGGAATGGAGCGGATGGTGTCTAGCTGCTGCCACAGTTTGGCGTGGTTTCCATTTCTTGCTTTTTGTTTTGTTTTAGTTTGGTTTGGGTTTTGATTTTTGGAGGCAGGGTTTCTCTGTGTAGCTTTGCGCCTTTCCTGGAACTCGCTCTGTAGACCAGGCTGGCCTCAAACTCCGAGATCCTCCTGCCTCTGCCTCCCGAGTGCTGGGATTAAAGGCGTGCGCCACCACTGCACACCAGGTTGGTTTTCATTTCTTGCAATAAGACTGTTTGGTTTGTGTACTTAAAAGGGGGGATGCTGGGGCCGTGGTCAGGGTGGAGCCCCGCCTAGAAACCCCAGTCACGGGCTGGTGTCCTAGTCAAGGACAGAACACTTTCCTAGCATGCAGGTGGCCAGAAGTTTCACGCCCCCAGCACCCCCAAACATAACAGTGTTTAACTGATCAACAGGGCCTCAGCACATATTCATTGAGACCTTCATTGACTGGGAAGGGGCGCTGGGCCCCAGGCGCTTTCAGCTGGGCATGAACAGAACCCTCTCGGGGCTTGTGTTATGTGGTCACAAATGGGCTTGATCCCACGTGACCCCAGCCCTTGGGGCCGGCCGGCCGGGCAGAGGACGCCTCACCGGAGGCCTGTGGGCCCCAGCCACAGGTTTCTGCGGACAGACCTGCTCAGTCAAAGCATTCCTTGGGGCGGAGCCCAGAGCAAGGTCCCTGTTGAAGTGGTTTCGTGTCTGAGCTGGTGCCAACCCCCGGCCTGAGGGGGGAGGGCGCTCTGTGTGATTCATCCCACCGTCTTTGAAGTCGGGAGGAGCCCTCACATCAGCCAGTCCAGTCTGCGGGTGGCACGGGATGTTATTAGCCTGGTCACCCTCGCGGGCACCCTGGGTTTCTGCATCCCTTCCGAAGTCACCGACATAGAGGCCTGGGAGGACGCTGTGGAAGGGACTTGAATGTCCTGTGCCCACACCAGCTATTCTGAGGCCTCGCAGTCTATTCTTGGGGTCACAGAGGGAGAATTTCCAAGCAGCAGTCTGCATCTGAGTGTTCAAAGGCAGCAGCCCAGCGGCTCTGCGTGGCGATTTTCCCGCTGTGTGGGTAGACTGGTCCCCAGGGCTGGGCAGCTGGGCCGGGCCAGGTTCCCAGTGTCCCAGCGTACCAAGATCAGTGGCGTGGAAGGTGGGTGTGGGAGCGAGTGCCTGTCACTCGGGGCCAATCCGGGCAGCAGAGTGAGACCCCGGCTCCAAAGCAAAAGACCTGTGGGTTACTTAGTGCGGGAGTGTTGGTGCAGTGCTCATAGCTCAGTGAGTAGAGTGCTTATGCACGAGGCCCTGGGTCCTCACCAGACGCGGTGGTGCACGCCTGTCATCATCCCCGGCTACATGAGACCCTGTTTCAGAAAAACAAAACATCAGCCAAAACGGTGGCCCATCGAGACGCAGAAGCAGGTGGCCGCTGGTGCCCCGCACGGCCAGCAGCCCCGAGGGACCAGAGCGGAGCAGTGCAGGGGTGTGGCCGGGGTGACAGGAGCCAGCTTCCTGAAGACCTCAGTGGGCTGGGGCTGCAGCTGCAGGGTCAGTGAGATGCTTCTCGGCGGAGCTCAGATCACCCTCGTGAGGTGGGACAGGGCCAGGTCCCGTGACAGGCAGGGCCTTTCTATGGGCTCCTGTCTCGGGTGGGAGTGGATCTAATGAAGGACTCCAACCACGGCTGGCCTAAATGCTAGCTCCGGGCGAGGGACACGAGAGACCTCCATTCCCCTCCGCTTCTTTGGCAAGTGGGGGATGGAGCCCAGAGGTTCCCATGGACACGGAGTGTTGGACCTCGGAGCCCCGCCCCCAGCCCCTCACTGGGGGATTCTGGGCGGGGCTCCACCCTGACCACGCCCCCAGCCCCTCACTGGGGGATTCTGGGCGGGGCTCCACCCTGACCACGCCCCCAGCCCCTCACTGGGGGATTCTGGGCGGGGCTCCACCCTGACCACGCCCCCAGCCCCTCACTGGGGATTCTAGGCGGGGCTCCACCCTGTCCACGCCCCCAGACCCTCACTGGGGGATTCTGGGCGGGGCTCCATCCTGACCACGCCCCCAGCCCCTCACTGGGGGATTCTGGGTGGGGCTCCATCCTGACCACGCCCCCAGCCCTCACTGGGGGATTCTGGGCGGGGCTCCACCCTGACCACGCCCCCAGCCCCTGTGTGTGGTATTTTGTGTGTGCACAGTGCCTCTTATAGATCACCACTGTGTACTTGCACTCAAAGCCTGTTTCAGGAGCCATCTCCTTATTCCATCTCCATCCCCTAGCAACCATGCATCTACTTCCTGTCGCCGGATTCACTTGCTCTATAAATATCTTATCATGGAGTCCACACTGCGTGGCCTTCTGTGTCTGATGCTCTCACCGAGCACGATGTCCGCAGAACCTCTCCATGCTGTAGCCTGTGTCAGAGTCTCATTCCTCTTTGTGGCTGTGTAGTATTCCACAGCCTGTGTGCCGGAGTTTGAGCGGCCATCATCATCTGGGCTCTCCCTGTCCCCGTGGCCGCCGTGGGCGTCTCCCCCATCTGACCTGCCCTCTCTGCTTGTGCCTCACAGGTCTCCAAAGCCTCTTCAGAACTGATGAGCTACTGTGAGCAGCATGCCAGGACCGACCCCTTGCTGGTCGGAGTGCCGGCCTCTGAGAACCCCTTCAAAGACAAAAAGCCCTGCATAATTCTCTAGCGCGCTCTCCATGCTCTCCCCCGTCCCCCCCACGCTGTCCAACTTTTACTGTGAGAAGAATACCCGAATCCCTTCCTCATGCTTTGAGTTCTAGAGGAACCTTCGTGAGAGCAGACCCCCTGATGAGGGTGGAGTTTGGGACCCCGCCATGGGCCTCTGGGCGCCCCGATGTTAGCCCCCCCTCCCCACGCCCGTCCAGTATCCCCGGGGACCTGAGTGATGTGACTATGTCCCCTTAGGTTGGGGACATGGCTCAGCGGGTGAGGCGCGCGCCTCGCAAGCGTGAGGACCTGAGTTCTAATCCCACATAAAAAGTCCAGACGCAGGGGCGCGTGTGTGCGCCCCAGCACTCCCGAGGCCAAAGCAAGGATCCCGAGGGCTGGGGACAGCCGTCCTGTCACCGACCTCCGGGACCCCGCCTCCCAGCTGGAGGAACACTCCCGGCGTCCCCCTGTCATGCACAGGGCCCTTTCTCCGGGGACGCGGCTCGTTTCAGAACATCCGGGTCTCCACGCAGCGCGGGCAGTTGCTGCTATGGCCGAATGCGTGATTTTGTCTCCTAAGCCCGAGACCCACGTGGTCACGGGTGGCTCCCCGTTCCCTCGCTTTCCCCAGTTACCAAGGCTCATGAGGGCAGAAATGCAGACTTAATTATCTTGAAGAGACTGAGAGGGAGTCACAGAGATGGGGTCCTGCATCCCACGTGGTGACGGTCACTGTGACTCTGGATCCCCTCCCCTGGCTGGACCAAATCACTCTCCAAGGAGCTGGAGGCCCTCAGTGTGAGGACTGCAGACCAGGTCTGCACTGCACCCCCACTGGGGGTTCTGGGCGGGGCTCCACCCTGACCACGCCCCCAGCCCCTCACTGGGGATTCTGGGCGGGGCTCCACCCTGACCACGCCCCCAGCCCCTCACTGGGGATTCTAGGCGGGGCTCCACCCTGACCACGCCCCCAGACCCTCACTGGGGATTCTAGGCGGGGCTCCACCCTGACCACGCCCCCAACCCTCACTGGGGGATTCTAGGCGGGGCTCCACATGACCACGCCCCCAGACCCTCACTGGGGATTCTAGGCGGGGCTCCACCCTGACCACGCCCCCAGACCCTCACTGGGAATTCTAGGCGGGGCTCCACCCTGACCACGCCCCCAGCCCCTCACTGGGAATTCTAGGCGGGCCTTCACTCCTGAGCCAGGGCCTCCACTGTTTCTGTTTCGTTCCCTGGAACTGGAGATCTTCTTGCCTCTGCCTCCAGAGTACCTGCATGACAGACAGGTCTCTGCTTCCTTGCCCGGCACAGGGTTGGCTGTGAAGAACCCTCTACACAGGGCAGTAACAGCACAGTGGCCCCTGACGAGGCTTGGCTGTGCCAGCGTGGACTGCCGCCATACCTCACAGGCATCCTAAGCCCCGGGATGATGATGGATTCAGGAGTGCCCTGCTGCCTCAGGCCCCTCCCAGAAGGCCAGTGTGGGAGCAAGCAGCAGAAATGAAGCCAGTCCAGTTATGTCCCACGGCCCTGGTGGAAATCAGCTCCCAAGAGCTGCACCAGGCTGGCCCCTGGACAGCTGCCCAAACTGCGCACGGGGAAAGTGAATGGGGCTCACACACCCCGCCTCGTGTCCCAGCCCTCCAGGCACAACCTACCTCCTAGGTAAGGTGGCAGGGCCCCCAACTCATTCTGATGGTGCCAGGGAAAGAAGTCTGCAGTGAGACTAAGGGGAGACATTGTAGGTGCTAAGAGGGGACCCCCGTCTCCCCCTCCCTGGGCTGGCTCCCAGAGGGCACAGACTTAAGGTCAGACCCTTCCTGTGCATCGGGTCCTCATGACTGGTCAAGGAGGGTCAGGGACATTGGGGAACCTGACTCCCCAAACCAGTGTTGGGATCAGAAAAGCCACTGTGTCTCCCCAAAGCTACAGCCACTTTGCGTTAGAGTAGGAACCAGGGCCCCAGGGTGTGTGTACCCAGCCTCACTAGCAAAGAGAGAGAAAAGCATGTACTGGGGACCAGGGTGGCAGCCCCGTGAGCAGAGCACTCTCCTAGCATGCCAGAGAGCCAAGCTTCCATCTCCAGCTCACAGCACCCAGGCCTGGGCACACTGGGGAGGTGGAGGTAGGAGGATCAGGACTTCATGGTCATCTTCTGCTACATAATGATTTCAAGGCTAGCCTGGACTACAGGAGACCATGTCTCAAAACCAGAAAACTCAGCGCACTCATCCGCCGTCCCTGCTACCTCGGCCTCCCTCAGGTGGGGTTGCTGGCAGTGGATGTCATGGCCAGTGTTTGGTAGAAGCAGCTTTTCCTCTCTCCACTCTAGGAAAGAAAAAAAAAAAAATCAAACCAACATCTACACCTGAACCTCCAACTGCCCCTCCCCAGGTGACCCACAGACCAAGGGCAAAAGTGGCCTCTTGTTCCCCAAGGAAGGTGGGACATGCTTTACCAGTGTTTCCAGGATGGACCTTGGGCCCCAGAATAGTCCCCGGGTCCCATCCCAGCCACCAGAGCCCTGCCTCGGCTTGGAGAAGCCAGGACACAACAGCAATCAGGAGCCGGGCTGTGGTGGCGCACACCTTTAGCCCCCCGATAAAGGCAGAGGCTAATGAGTCCCTGTGAGTTTGAGACCAGCCTGGTCTACAGAGCGAGTTCCCCACAGCCAGGGCTACAGAGACACAGTCTAAAAAAGGAAGAAAAGGGAAAAAGCAGCGAGATCTGCTCCAGCTTGGGTGACCGAGGAGAGACTTCCAACCCACAGAGAAGCCGCCAGGCCCTCCCTTGTCCTCAACAGAAGCCATAAGCACCCTGTCTGAGTGTCTCAGACACAATGGCCAGACGTCACAGGACGTCACACAGCACTTTCTGTTTCCTGCACTTCACGCCAGGCCCTGGCTCCCCCTCTTCTGTCTGCATTGTGACTTGGTTGGTTTTTATTTCTGATTTTAAAAAAGAATTCTGTTGTGCCACACCCACTCTGACAGTGTTTAATATTGTGTGGAATGAGGGTCACGGCAATGTCAATCCTCCATAATAAAGACTCAGTCTTCCTTTTACCTGACTCCAAACTCTTTGTTTCTCTCCCTGGCTGGGACAGCTCAGGTGATGGACAGTGGCCAATCATCCACACACCCTTCCTTCAGGGATTCCATCCACAAGGCCTGGAATGAGGGAGGAGTGAGGTTCAGCCCTGGTGGATGACAGATCTGCACACGGAAGCGTTTTGTTTTGAGACAAGGGTCTCATGTAGCCCAGACTGGCTCCGAACTCATTGTACAGCAAGGGCTAACCTTGAACTCCTGACTCTGGATGATAGGTATGGCTGCCATGCCTGTTCATGCAGTGCTGGGGATGGGAGCCTGGGCTTTTTCCTTCGTGCGGAGTGAGTGCTCCAACCACTGAGCTCCACTGCAGTCTTTGGTTTTGTTCTGAGACAGGCACACTGTACACCTGCCTAGGAAGGGGCTCAGAACACGGCTCCATGAAGACAACTCACATCTGGTGTGCAAAGACCCTGGGTTCCATCCCAGCTCTGTAAAAAATAAAAGACCTTTTACTCCCAAACAGTTGTGGGGTCAGAGGTTCAAGACAGGCATCCTTGGCTGCCGTCCACCCTCCTGCCTCTTCCCAAGGACCTGAAGGTTGACAGCAAGCCCTGGATGATCCAGGGTGGTCCCCAGCTCAGGGTCCTCTGCTTGACCCATCTGCAACGTCTGTCTGCTCAAAGAGATGCTGTGTCGCAGGCCTGAGGGCGCAGATGAGGTGGTCTTCGGGGCTGGGAAGCAGCAGCCTGCAGCCGGGCTCCCAGGGAGGCCTAGCATGAGGCAGACATTCATCTGCTGTTGTTCACATTATGACCCGAGGTCCAGGGGTGAGCTCAGGACAGCAAGGGGGAGGGGGAGCAGGCGGGAAGAGTTTGTGTTGTTGACTTTGCCACCACTTAATGTGGTCCGTGGCGGCCTCTGAGGGACCATGGCCTTATAAACTCACCTGGGCGGTATTCCCAGGGTCCAGCTGAGGAGACGGGGAGAGGATCAGTTCCCTACCTCGCCCTCTGCGCGGTACGTAAGCAGACAGGCTCCTGTGTGCAGGATGTCACACTGTGTGACATCAGCCAAGACTTCTCCCTGCCAGCCTTCCCAGGCTAGAGAAGTGGACAGGAACTGCAGGAAGTTTAGAAAGGGGGGGTGGGGTGGGGGGTGGGGGCGGCACTTGAAAAAGTGCCAGGAAGACTCAGGACAAAAGAGAACAGGGCACATTTCCGGAAGTGTCTGAAGCTTATGAGACAATGACAGCAGCATCCCTGAGCCAAGTGAACACGCTGGTGAGTCACAGACCACACGCCCATGGGTTCACACTCCCTCCACAACAACTTCTCAGAGACAGGAAGGGCACTAGAGGGCTTTGTTTCAGCTTTCCCATGACAGAGGGGGAGCACGGCCACATGGAGAGACGAGAAACAGGGGCAATACTTGGAGGCTGAGGCAGGAGGGGCTGGAGTTCCAGGCTAGCCTGGGCTATAGAATGGGACCCTGGTGCTGGAGAGATAGCTAAATGGTTAGAGCACTCTTGCAGAGGACCAGGGTTCGATTCCCAGCACCACATGGTGGCTCACAACCGTCTGTAACTCCAACTCCAATTCCAGGGGATCTGACACCCACTTCTGGTCTCTGTGGGCGCTGCATTCACGTGATACACTGACAGACATATATACAGGAAACACCCATGCACATGAAATGAATAAATAAAATAAAGCTGGGCAGTTGGCAGCACACACCTTTAATCCCAGCACTTGGGAGGCAGAGGCAGGTGGATCTCTGTGAGTTCGAGGCCAGCCTGGTCTACAGAGTGAGTTCCAGAACAGCCAAGGCTATACAGAGAAACCCTGTCTTGAAAGACAATAAACAAACAAACAAATTAAATTTAAAAAGAAAGAATGGAACCCTGTCTAGATGGATAGATAAATAAAGAGATAGATGTTGAGTAGACCACAGGCAGGTATGTAGCAGATGATGGATCGATAGCTATAGATAATAGAAAAATGGATTAACAGATGGTGGATGGATAGATATACAGGTAAAACAATAAGGCAAAAGCCTCACCCTGTATCAGTCTGAATAAGGAACTTTAGAGCTGTAACGTGGGAGATGAGAGCGTGGCGAAGACGTGGGTGGCTCTGTGATGCTGTAGCCCCCACCTCTGAAGAAAGTACAGCCTTCCCTCACCTCCCATGATTCCTCGGTCCACAGCTCTGCTCACAGCTGCTCACCTGGGAGAAAGAAAAAGACACATGCCAAGAGTCCTAGAAAAACGGGAAGTCAGGCATTTGCCTGTGACCTCAGAATTCCGGGATCAGGGGACGATGACTTCCAGGGCAGCCTGGGCTACACAGTGAGACCCCATTTCAAGAATAAACAATTCAGCCAATGAACAAATATGGAAAGAAATGATCAGGGCTGAAGAGATGGCCGAGATATTAAAAGCTCGATGCTCTTTCCAAAGACCTGGGCTTGGTTCCCAGCGCCCACATGACGGCTCACAACCGCCTATGACACCAGCTCTAGGGGAGCCGGCGCCCCCTTCTGGCCTCTGTGGGAACTGCCACTCACTTGCTACACACAGACACACACGTACTACACATAACGAAAAGCAGATAAATCATTTTTTTTTTTTAAAGAAAGAAAGGAATGTTCTGAGCAGCTCCTAAGAGACAAAGGCTGGAAGCATGTCAGGCATTCGGGCATAGGTGAACAGAGAAAGAAAACATGCTCATACCGTAGGATGCCACTCAGCCGTGGGAAGGGACATGGCTCTGGCACAGGGTGACTCAGGAACACTCCGTGCTGAGTGAAACAGCTTCTCACAGAGGAGAACAGCGGGACTCTACAGACAGCAGGTGACCCTTGGAGGAAGGCTGTGATCATCAGGCGCCAGCCCCAAAGACGCCCACACCTTGACGGAAGAGCCCAGAGCGTGGGGGCCTGTGTAGAACCAGAGAACATGACCGGAGGGCCTTGAGCACTCTAGATCATCCAGGGCCCCAAGGCCACCACAATCTCAGGGCTTCTACTGGGGAAACGTAAGCAAATGTCTATTTGACAGGTGTGGGGGCTCAAGCCTGTCATCCTGACACTCAGGAGGTGGAGGCAGGAGGATTGCTGTGAGTTCAAGGCCTTGAAAAATCCTAGATGGGGTGGGGGGGTGGAGGTGGCTGGAGAGATGCTCAGAGTTAAGAGCACTTGCCCCTCTTGTAGAGGGTCCAGAAGCCCCATGTGACTCCAGCTCCGGGGGATCCAACGCCCCCTTCTGGCCTCCGTGGGCACTGTAGGCACATGGTGCAGGGCAAACAGGCAACACCCACACATTAAAGACAGATGTCTGTCACCCAGACCGAACATGACAGACCAAAGACAGGTTCCTGCCAGAATAGCTTTTTTTGGTTTGTTTGTTTTTTTGAGACAGGGTGTCTCTGTGTAGTTTCGGTGCCTCTCCTGGAACTCACTTGGTAGCCCAGGCTGGCCTCGAACTCACAGAGATCTGCCTAGCTCTGCGTCCCGAGTGCTGGGATTAAAGGAGTGCGCCACCACCGCCCAGCTCCAAAAAACTTTGTAAGCCAATGAGGCTTTAAAAAAATTATTATAAGCTGGGCAGCAGTGATGTACGCACCAAAACTACACACAGAGAAAACCTGTCTCGAAAAACAAAAACAAAAAAAAATTTATTTTCCTGAAGGCATTTTATTATTTGGTTATTTATCTATTTATCTACTTATCTATCTATCTATCTATTTATTTATTTATTTATTTTGAGGCAGGGCCTCTCTGTCTAACCCTGACTGTCCTGGGACTTACTGTGTACCTCAGGCTGGCCTCAAACTTGTGGTGATCCTCCTGCCTCGGCGGTGTGAGGATGACAGGAATGCACTGTCACACTTGCTGTGGTCCAGGGGCGTAGGCCACTCAGAGAGCTGCCCACTGGGCAGTCCCACCCCAGCGGCAGGGTCGACTCATGGGTAGCTGTCACTGGAGTTCCCGATCCCAAGGCAACAGTGTGTTCCTCTTGTGTGCTCTGGCACCCCACACACCAAGAGTGGCTGAAAAAGAGGGTCGGCCGCGGGTGGAGAGCCTCACAAGAACTCAGTGGGGTATATGTTTGCACACAAGCATAAGGACCTGAGTTCGAATCCGCAGCACCCAAGTTAAAAACCAGACACAGTAACACACACTGTACCCCAGCACTGGGGGATGGAGAGGCCTGGTCGGCCAGTCTAGCCCAATCAGTGAGCTCTGGGCTCTGTGAGAGGCCGTGTCTCCAAAAACAAGGTGAAGAACACAGTCGATGTCAACCTCTGGCCTCCACATACAAACACCCCAAAGTAAGCTGCGCTACGAGCCATGCTGGGTGCCCCTCAGATGCCCGACCCCCACCTCTGCAGATGCAGCTCGGTCCCTACCCCAGGGTGTGGGTCCACACAGGGAGGGCATGACGGCCTCCACAACTGGATTGGAGTAAGGAAAAGCTTTCCCCGATGTACCGAGACCCAGCTGTCATCCAGCTGTTTCGGAAGGATGGGAAGGGCTTGCGGTGACACTTCCCCAGCGACTTTCGCTGTTCTCCGGTTCCTAGTCACATATATTTCCTCTCTGGGAGAGAAGGGAGGGCTCCTGAGACTCACAGGGAACCTTAAGAAAATTGCACACCTCAGGGCATGCGGCCCATGAAGCCCACGAAGCCCGGCTCGGGGCTTCTGTGAACAAGGAACAATTGCATGGTAAGAGGAGGCTATGCCTATCCCCCAGCAACACAGCCCGAGTCCTTAGCCATGCCCTGGCAGGCTGTCAGGGCATCTGGTCCCCAAATGCTACCTAAGTAGCCCCAATAAGCTTATTTGGTTGCCATACAAATAAATAAATTTAAAAAGTAATAAGCCAGGAGGTGGTGGCGCACGCCTTTAGTCCCAGCACTCAGGAGACAGAGGCAGGCGGATCTCTGTGAGTTCAAGGCCAGCCTGGTCTACAGAGCGAGATCCAGGACATCCGGGGCTACACAGAGAAAC